TTCAATGAAGGAGTCCTCCCTGATTTTTCTATTCCCGGGCTAGTTGAACCGGGAGACGACTACGATAGGGTTACCGCCAATCAGGATGTCCACCAGGTCCAGACAGATTGGTTGAGAGATCATGCTACTTACAATATTCTTTGATGACGAGGCAACGTCTCCGACAGTGGACGTTAAAAACAGGCTAGTCCGAATGTATGAAAACAGCTGGGCAGCCGCTCGGAGCTCAGGGGCAGGTCCGGTGAGAGGCACGTTTCGAAATGAAGGAAAGAATCTGGCTACCTACGTAACCTCGTCAAAACCAATTGCTGACTGAATGCTTGAGAAAGAAGAAGAGAAGGTAGTTTTAGATCGTCGACTTCATGCATTGACCTTTCGTGCTTGGATGATGGTAAAACAGTCAGATGACTGGAGAGACGTCATGCAACAAAGATTTTTCTGGATTCGATAATGGAGGTTCCCGTTTCAGCAATGGGGCTCTTAAAAAGAGCGGTTCAGGACGCTTTCGGCCCAGTGACCAAAGACTATCCGGCCTACTCTAAAGTTTCCAAACCACTGGAACCAGATCTCCGTAACGTCAAGTTTGATTTGCTCCCTTCGGTAAAATTATGGTACAAAAAGTGCTCGCAAATTGATCTTAAAAAGGATGGCCTAGTTAAGATTGATGACATTTGCGCGGAAACGTCTTGGTGTTGTGTGTGTCACCGTCATTTCCATAAAGAATCTGACGATTGCTGTGCAAGAAAGAAGCAAAAGCAAGTACCTAAAACAGACGAAGGGCGTAACTCCACAGAAGATGACGATCTGTCAAAGAATTCTTCAAAAGATGGAAAGACGGATGGGATTGAGAAAGACCCTGGCCCTTCGTTTAAAGAGGTCCCACTGCGGAAAAAAGAAAAAAAAACTGTGGAAGGAAACTCGCAAGGGCGGACATAAGGAGTAGAATAAAGACGAAACAGGCCGCATTCCTCTCCCCGCAATAGGAAATCCTGTTATATCGAAATCGATCAGACGAAGGGCGTAACTCCACAGAAGATGACGATCTGTCAAAGAATTCTTCAAAAGATGGAAAGACGGATGGGATTGAGTATTTAAAGAGGTCCCACTGCGGAAAAAAGAAAAAAAAACTGTGGAAGGAAGCTCGCAAGGTCGCACACAAGGAGAAGAATAAAGACGAAACAGGCCGCATTCCTCTCCCCGCAATAGGAAATCCCTTTATAACGAAATCGATGTACGTTCCCGAAAAGGGCAGCCAGGGAAATTCCCCGAAAGATGCAACTCACAAGAAGCTGCTTGATCTGCCCTCTCCTTTTGTCTTTGGAGAAGAAAAATCCAAAAACAAGAAGGAAAAATCTAATAAGACCGACCAACACACCAATCAACCAAACCGACACACCGAATGACCGACCAGGCAGGCAGGCAGTAAGACAGACTGGCAAGCAGGCAGGCATACAGACAGGCAGGCAGGCAGGCAGGCAGGCAGACAGACAGACAGACAGACAGACAGACAGACAGACAGGCAGAGACAGACAGACAGACAGACAGACAGACAGACAGACAGACAGACAGACAGACAGACAGACAGACGGGCGGACGGACCGATGGACTAATGATCCCAACCGATGGACCAACAGTCCCAAACGACTGATCGACAGACCGACAAACGGATGGAACGACAGACCGATCGACAGATAGATGTCTGTTTGACAGATAGAAATTTACTTGTCAGACAAATAGAACAGACAAAACAGACTGACCGACCGACCGACCAATCAACCCACCGACCGACAGACAAACGAGTTTCAGACAGACAGAAAGACAGATGTCTGTCTAACAAATAGAACAAAAAAAACGGGCTGACCAACCGAGCAACCCCCACCCAGCCCAGCCCAACCTGGCCCAACCTGACAACCAGAAACACAGACAGACAGCTAGCAGACGGGAAGAACGACCGAGCGACTGGACGAATGACTGATCGATGAATGGACCCACCGACCAACTGACCGATACACTGATGCACCGACCAACAGATAGACCTATGGACTGATGAACGCAATGACCAACCGACCGAGGGACTGACCATCCAAAAACCCGACCAACCGACGGACGGGGCAACCGTACCGACCAGTCCGACCAACTGACGCTGAAGTGCACTACAAACTCAATCTTAACTGACCGGCATACTGACCGACTAACCAACCGCCTGCCTGGCCATGTGCTTGCCCACCCGCCCGCCCACCCACCCACTGCCCGGCCCCCGACCAACCAACCAACCGACCAAGTACTGACCAGCTAACTGGCTGACAGACAGACAGACAGACAAACAGACCAACAGACAGACAGACGAGACAAGCTGGACCGGCATATCGACCAGACAGACCAAACTTAACCGAACAGGCGTGACGGGCGGACCGGTCAACCAACTGATATCGACTACCCAATTGACGGACCAACACACAGATACCGATACATAGAGACAGACAGACAAACACATAGATACATGGACAACGAGCCAGCCAGGTAGCCAGGCAGGCACGCATGCAGGCACACAGACTGAGACATCAAAAGACACATGGCGAGACACACCAAGGACGGACCGACGGACCGACGGACCGACGGACCGACCGACAGACAGACAGACAGACAGACAGACAGACAGACAGACAGGACAGACAGGACAGACAGGACAGACAGACAGACTGACAGACTGACAGACTGACAGACTGGCCGACCGACCAACACAACCGGCCCAAACAATTGACCCGCCAGCCCACGCGCCCCCACAGACAGATGAACGGAGACATACACAGACAGACAGACAGACAAACCATACACTAAACAAACCACGACAGACCAACCGAACCAACCGAATCGACTGCACCACAGACACACACACACACATAGACACATTGTCAAACAAACAGACAGACAAAGAGAGAGACAGACACAAAGATAGACAAGACAGACCAAACAGACCAGACAGACCAGAACATCCAACCAGACGGAGCATACCAACTGCCCCACAGATAGACAGGCAAGCCAGGGGGGGGGGGGGACAGGTGGGCATGGGGTTGTCAGGCAGGTGGACGGGTGGGTTTACAGGCAGGCAGGCAGGCAGGCAGGCCAGCAGGCAGACAGACAAAGGTGCAAAAGAGACCTGCAATGGCTAAAGCTGTGCGTAAGCGAAGACACTTCTGGACAAAAGGTACAAGCCATATCAACTCACATGTCAAAAGAAAGCTGATTGAGGGAGAATGATGGTGATGCTCAAGAAAACTGCAGTTGCACGTCATGGAAACCAAATGACATTCAGAAGAATGGACAAAAGAGAGACTGATGCCAATGCCAATGCCCAAGAGACCAGCAGTCCCTCCTGCAGAAGGCCATGCCAGAACGGAAACACAGTGCTTCCGGAGAAAGTAGCTTGTGAGAAAAGGTGGCGCACAAGAAACCAGCGTAAGGAAAAACCGATGCGTGGAATGCTGCAAAGTCTAAGAAAGTTTAAGAAACTGGTATTTACTATTTATTATTTAGCATTTCATTCGCAGAGGTCTACAGATCGGAGAAACTGCTGCTTGTGAAACGCACATGAAGAAACCTCATTTTCAGAACCTGCAGTTCCTACCAGGGTCTGCAGTTGCAAACTTAATCCTGCAGGCCCTGCACGTCAGCGTATCTGATGAGCAGAGCCTGTACGTTAGAGAATCCGATAGCACAGAAAGCACTACATGTCAGAGTAAACAATGCTACCAAACCTGTATCTCAGTGAAACTGATGCTGACATATCTACATGTCAGAGAGACTGACACCATAGGAAACTGACACTTGTGCCACAGAAGAAGGCCAGCCCATGCAGAAAAAAGTACAGGATAGCATTGCTGTAATGCTCAGGAAGCTAACACATAACAGAGTGTGGAAGCCCTGACGGCGAAAGCAGAAATGCCGCAGGAGTCGTGTCAGAAAAACTGATACCGTCATGCTGTAGAAACACCAACGCTGTGTAAAAGCCACAATGTCACGCCGTAGAGATACCAATGCTATAGGAAGCTCTCACACAGGGCGTGGAAGCCATTACGGCAAATACAACGATGATGGATTCATGTCAGGAAATCCAATCATGTCAGAGAGACTGATCCTGTGAGAAAAACCAATCCTATGAGAAAAACTGATACGGCCAGAAAAAAATGACGCTCTCAGAAAAGTGACATGTCATTTCATAGAGATGACCGATCCCATAGAACGCTACACATGACAGCAAAGTCATTGCTCAAGGAAACTGGCATCACAGCGCGGAAAACATGGGCCCAGAGAGATGCACATATACGGTTGCTGAGGACAGACTCGAGCACAGACGAAGGTGAGTTCGAATGACAAGGACCGATTTGCGCAGATCAGAATAAATGTTGTTGTCAACTGAAACAGATGCCTGGAAAATAGAACTGTCTTGAATCCACCCATTAAACCACCAGTGCAAGCCCTCTCCTGCAAAACACCCAACGGTGTACAAGGAGACCGCGCTTTTGATGTACCAGTCTCTGCTGGGGACCTGTTTGATTTGTTCAGCCGCAAAAAAGTTAGGTTTGGCCTTCTTTTTTCGGTCCCCCGCACTGGCGCTTTAATATACCCCATGGCCACCCCCTGCAGGGAGCACACAGAACAAATCCTGAGAAAAAATGGCTTTTGCAAGAATCGTCACAGAATGTGTGCGCTTGTCTCCGCCCATCACGAGCAGAAGTGTGGCAAGAACACACATCCTTTCTATTTATTTATTTATTTTTCTTTCTTTTCTTTTTCTTTTTTTCTTTTTTTTCTTTTTTTTTTTTTTTTTTTTNTTTTTTTTTTTTTGGGACCATTTCTCGATTTATGTGTGTCACCCTTGCGCAGGGGCCATTTTGCTAATTACCCTTCTCTGTATCGTTCCAATTTTAACGGATGTCCGGAAGGACACACACGAACACAAATCCTAATTTTGGCTGATTATGAAAATGTATGCTGAGCTCGAAACCAAAGCTTATATGCTGCGCTGGAAACAAAACATGAGATGCAGAGAAACAAATGGGAAAATGTCAAGGATAGAAAAAAAAACGAGGCTGCGATGCTGAGTCTATCCAGAACATATGCCTGAGAACATAACTGCTGAGGATAAAATTGATAAATCCCCTAATCTGAAATCAATCCGATGATTCCAAATATATACCCAACACCTGGGACTACACGTCTCCTGGTGTGCACATGTCGAATACATAACAGAGATGCTCTGCCATCTGAGCTCCACAGGATGTGCAGAATGAGCTTCTCCACAGGCAGACTGAAAAAAACAATCTACTAAAAAGCTAGAGACTAAGTACCTCAGTCAGCCCAAAAGGAGAGGTTTGATCGCTCCAAGACAAGGACCCCACAACCACACTGAACAGCGATTGCTCTCCCCCACATCCTGATGTTTCTTCATCTTATTCCTATTGCTGTTATGATGGGCTTAACTATAGTTCTCTTCTTCTTCTTCTTCTTCTTCTTCTTCTTCTTCTTCTTCCTCCTCCTCCTCCTCCTCCTCCTCCTCTTCCGACTTACATTGCCGCCTTTCATTGGTAGCAGGAAAGGACGCAGAGGAGAAGAAACAACTACACTGGAAAGAATGCAACACAACGACCGACATCAATCTTTTTTTTTTTTTTATTAATTCAACAAGATGCTACCAACGCCACGTGACAGCTTGTCCACCACATATCACCTTCGCCCGGTCATCTCCCACTTCCGCTTCCCCTCCCACCGCCCCCTCCATCTACTTCTTCGCTTTCGAGAAACGCAGGCACCTATATTGCTCCCCACTAACTGTTATCTCCAAAGCCCCATCTTGATTGTCCTGTTTCGATGCCGTTCCCATCAGCAGATTTTTCTCCTTCTCCAGGTTCTCCCTCTCAATTTTCAGTCTCTGCTCCTGCTTCACAACCTCTGCCTGCACACACACACACACACACACACACACACACACACACACACACACGTTTTCGAAAAAATAATTCATCACAGAGAATAGCCAAGCCATAAGACTGCCTCTCAAAAAAAAAAAAAAAAAAAAAAAAAAAAGAGTAAATAGTAAACAGCCTCAGCCAGTCAGCCAGTCAGTGTCGTCATGCGGACTACCAAGGAAGCATGATGTCCTGTTTATGTGTGAGGCTACCGAGAGTGAAGTATGTGTTCTTCATGGTGGGGTATTGCTCTGTGTGTGAGCTTGCCATGCATAAACGCCATTTCGAGGATTCGATCACTGTACTCCTAGCTGTTCGGTTGGCATCTAGTCAGGCTACGATTTTTATTTTTTATTTTTTTTATTTTTTTCATAAAAAGGTCTAGGGTGCAGTAAAGGGTGGTGTGACCAGGCCTCAGACCTGAATTTGTCATCCAGTATGTTCTTAGAAGGGGGTAGCCCCTACCGTCTTCACCTGAAAAGAACGCCTGGTCGTTATCGCTGCATCTGGACTGAAAGTTGGGCCAAATGCAGCTATAATGACCGGGCATTCTATTCGGGTGAAGACGGTAGCATTCATAGCATTCATTCCTTCATTTTTCCACAAGCATTCCAACCCCTGAGCTGTTTTCTAGCAGTCACATTTCTGTATTACTCAGCAACATGGGGTTGGGAAGTGTGTCATCTAGTACGAGTACCAACTTGCCGACGTGTCCAGGGTGGCGATGAGAGCGCACTCTTTGTGAAACCAACAACAAAAAACAAAACGTGGAGAAGACAAAAATGAAGGGCACACTGAAACCCTTCTTCTGATCATTTGGTTCCATACTTGCAAGCAGAAGGACCGGACGAGCGTCGGGTCCGGTCCCGCTTTGCCGCGTGCCGCACCCTCCCCCCGGACCGGACGGGGCCGGTTTTTTTTTTTTTTTTTGGGGGGGGGGGGGGAGGATGGGGCGTAAACGGTCGTCGGGCACACATTCGCGCGCCGCGCAGGTCCGGTCCGGCGGTCTGCCGCACGAGCAGAACCGCCCGGACGGCGTCCGCTTGCAAGTAAATATGTTCTTTTCTTTCCTACTTTACTGTGCCTATCATAAACAAGGCTCTACTCGATGAAGTTGAGAATGAGCTGCCCGCATCCCCGTGCGCCATAATGAATGACCCACTTGTAGGCTGTGCAAAAGAATCAGAGTAAAGGGGAAGGGAATAAACAGAGAGAAAAGATGGAAAGAAGACAAAGCAAAGGAAGGGAAATGGAAACTAAGAGAGAGTGAGGAGAGTATGGAATGAAGATAAAAACATGGTGTCCTTCAGGACATCCGTTAAAATTGGAACAATACAGAGAAGATCAGCATGGCCCCTGCGCAAGGATGACATGCATAAATCGAGAAATGGTCCAGATTTTTAATTAAAAAAAAAAAAAAAAGGATAAAAGCATGGTAAAAGATAAGAGAAGGCTCAAGAATCAGTCTGTCATTTTCTTTTTTTTCTTTTTTTTCTGTCCTTGATGACAAAGAGGACATGCATTGTAACAATTACATCGATGAGGACATCGAGCACCTTGCTGAGCAGTGAGCATTCACAGTACGACAATTGCTACGTTGGCCAGCATTAAGCATGTGCACCAGACACTCCCAACAAATGTGGCATGTCAATCGCAGGCCAACATGAAGCAAGAACAGGCACCGCAAAAGCAAAAGACCTCGCGTTCAGTATTTAACGCCCATGGCCACAAAATGGATATGTAGTGTCTAGATGCAGAGGATTCGCACGCCAACATGAAGCAAGAACGGACACCACAGAAAATCACGCACGCATTCAGTTCAACGCACATGACCACAAACTGGACATATAGTGTCCAGATGTGGAGGATGCCTGCAGTCAGGAAAGGAGGGACAGTTCTCTGCACACATGGATGCAGAAACCATGTCACTGTACGGATTGTGACAGAGACGATGACAGCCGCAGCGGAGTGTCACATTGTTTGTAGCTGTGCAAAGGAGAAGGCCTTACAATGTTGTTGATACATTGAAAAATTGTACTGCTGCACCACAGGGGCAGAGAACTGATCTTCGACATAAAAGAATGTGCGGACAGTTTGTTGTGGCAAGAGAACAGCATCGTTATGTGAAGCAGAATAGTGCAAGGGGAGGAGGCAGGGTGGAAAACTAGTTGGCCCCCTTTTATCTCGAATAGCAGGACATCAGTTCGGGATAAAGGGGCCAACTAGTTTTCCACCCTGCCTCCTCCCCTTTTTGCACACCATTTCCCCCCCCCCTCCTCCATAACATGCTTAGAGCACAATGGAACAATCCCCAACGCAACGTAGCAGAGCACAAAGAGATGAACCACCGACCTCCCGCCTCGCAAGCTCTGCTTTCCAGGCAGCCTCTCGCTCTGCAACCTCCTTCTCTCTTTCTTCTATATAGCTCCTCATCTCACGATCTCTCATTGCCCGGTCCTGCAGATCAGCCTCCAATGCCTCCTTCAACTCGTGTATGAACTTCTCAACAACTGCCTTTATTCTTAGAGACATCTCGGCATTTGCTCTCCCCACCTGCAAACACACCTACATCGGCATACACACAACCGATAAGCAGAAGCCCAGACACAACAACATAAATCGTCGGAATTTTTTACTACCTAAAAAAATAGTAATTATCTATGCGGCTTGCCCTTTTTTTTTTTAAGTTATTTAAAGTTATTTTTTATATGACTGTAATGTGAGAGGGACTTCATCGTAACCATCTGATTCTCCGTCATTCATTTCTTCCGGACAACAACTAACCACTTCTCGACTGCCGCGTCCTTCCTGCAGTAGAAGTTCAACCTCCATGATTCTTTCTGCGGGGTTGTCACATTGTCCACACCCTCCATGTGGACACCCAATAGGCCCAATAGAAATTATAGACTATCTATTGTCACACTGTGAATCAGAGCACGAAAGCGAAAAAAAAGGCAAAACAAGAAAAGGGAAAGAAGGAAGGAAGGAAAGCCCCACCTGTTCATCACCTCTTACGTACAAGGCCAGCCACGTGGATGACAGGTTGAGCGCTGGCTGCCCCCATCTCGGTGTGTCACAAGGACCCACTTGCACGCAGCCAAAAGGGAAAAAAGAGGTAAAGAAAAGGAGGAGGAAACCAGACCTCACAGAGGCAAGAGAAAGAGAAAGGTCAAAGAAAAGACAAAGGAAGAAAGCAAATGACACATCCCACAGATAAACCAATTGCAACTGTCACTACAAAGTTCAACATAATTTTTTTCTTTGTTTCTTTTTTCTTTATTTCTTTTTTCTTTTTTTCTTTTTTCTTTTCTCCAGATATTTGTACTTTCTTTTATCTGTCCCACAATTAGTGTTGCTCCTGATCGCTTGATTCTATTGACCAGTTAGGACGAGGAGCCCCCACCCCACCCCGGCAGATAGGACAGGCACGCTGAGGATGGCGTGGATGTCCCCACAAGCATACCCAAGGAGAGCTACTTCAGCACTACACAGAGCATTCAGCAGGACGGCTACCTAGCACGTACCATCCCATCCCATCCCATCAAAACAGTCCTGACAAAGGACATGCTGCTGTCCACATGTCAAAAAAACAGCACGACGTTCATCACAGTGCGACATCATGCAGTCCTGATAGCGTCCTTGAGCACAAACGGGACAGCGCATATCTGGGTGATAGGGATGTGCACAACGAGGAAATGTTGGACACCCTTCGGCACAGAGGGCGTCGGCTGCAATAGATTGATAATGTTATGGGATAGGTGATTAATTCCGCACGCAGCCAAGACGCACTGCGTCCCTGTCCCGACAGGTGTCACACGAGAGATGGTCGATCAATAATCCAGAAGAATAAAGTATGATTCGGTAATGCACACAGAAATTCATTTATAATATTTTTATATTGAAAATAGCCTGAATCATTGTCCCACCATCCCACAGTTCCCACTGGGCAGCTGCACGAACGAGTGCCATATAATGCCCATTAAGGTCTGTGCAAAATGCAGGCAGAAATATGAGGAGGATGGTCATTAAGCTCATCGCCTGGCGTCGCATGATGCATGCATAAGAAGAACGTGGCGGCCGTGGAACGCTAACTGTAAGACTTTCTTTTTTTTTTTTTCCGTCCCCACCTTTCCTGTCCAATCAGTTCTTCGTACAAAACTAGCCGCTTGTCGTCTTCTTCTTAGGTGCCAGAGCATGCCACGTGTCTTCTTCCTCGATCTCCACGTCATCGAGCAGCTAGACTGGTTCCCATCCACCAGACAATTTTGCTCCCAAGGGTCTGACTACCGCATTCCAACGACCATAGCATCCGATCCGAACGACTAAGTCCATCATCTGGTCGTATTCCAACGACCGGAGACGAAGAAAAAAGAAAGAAAACACGACGGAAAAAAAAAGAAGAGGGAGAAGAAGAAGAATAAGAAGAAGAAGAAGAAGGAAGCGTGAACTGCTGCGGTCAAAGTCGCTACTCCAGAATGCGTTCCAACGCAAACCTTGCATTCATACCGTAAACGACCATCGACATGCACCTGGACGTCAGGCTGTGGCAGACTCGCTTCTCAGATTAGTGACATTCTTGTCAGGGGTTTGGGAAAGACAGTCCGCTAGGATTACATGGGTTAGTGTGTGCGTAAATTCGACCACTTGTCTCAGGGGTATTCGTGTAACTTCGGCCAATGTGGTGGGTCCTAATCCATCCACCAGCCACCAGACGACTGCATCCTGGGGAGAGGTCGTCAGGGTTCGACGTCCTCTGATGAGTCGGCGAAAGTCCAACGAAACAGTCCGGCATAATCGTGCTTTTTTTTTCTTTTTTTTTTTTGTGGAGTTACGTATAGCAGACATGACAACACGTGTGTGTGGAGATGTGTGTGTGTGTGTGTGTGTGTGTGGAGATGTGTGTGTGTGTTTGTGTGTGTGGATATGTGTGTGTGTGTGTGTGTGTGTGTGTGTGTGCGTGTGTGTGTGTGTGTGTGTGCGTGAGGATCGTGTGCGTAAGTGTTTGTGTTTGCTAAATACTGCTCCTGTTCTATACACACATTCATCATGATAATAACGTAAGGAGAGAATTTCGGTGGAACGACGGTAGTCGATCATCATGCATCTTGTATCCATTCATGGAAATATACATGGCGGCGCGCACGTGCGGTGGGCGGGCGGACATTCATTGATGAATGGAAGACAGTAGTCACATCATATCTTTCTTGTATGTTTACATCCATTAAAATATCAACGCAAACAGATTCATGGCGCGCGGCTGCATCATGGTGAAGCAATAACAATTTAAATAATAATTTAAATAATACTTTAAATAATAATTTAAATAAATAATTTAAGTAAATAATTTAAATAAATGATTTAAATAATAATGGCACGGTTGATTAGCATATACCCTCGGTTGATTGGCATATACCCTCCACCTCCCTCCCCCGTGATGACCAGGAGGACACGATATCTTTGGCCCTGGGGGAGGCCGTGACAAAAGGGAGCCTCGTTTTACTGGACTGCCTTGTAGAGCATAAGGACCCTACCTAGGGTTTTCTGGGATGCACCTGCCTGCTATTACAACTGCGTTCAGAGAAGAAAGTCATACCGTGGTGTGCGGAAGGCCTCACCGTCTCGGGACGGTTACTTCTCTCGCACGTAGAATAACGACGAGGAGAGGAAGATGCCAAGCAAATCGGTGGATGACGCACATGATGAATGATTCCAGCCGACAACGACGGCGATCAAGCAGGACATCCTCACACTAGGCCTTGCTGAATGCATCTGACCACAAATACGGCCAGATAAGGGGGGAAATAAAGTCCTAGTGCTACTGTAGTATGTCGTAAGAGGATAACAATAACAGTCGCTGATGATGACGGTAATGAAAGATATGTGATGACGACAACGACGGCGATCAAGGAGGACATCCTCACACTAGGCCGTTGCTGAATGCATCGGACCACAAATACGGCCAGATAAGGGAGAAAATAAAGTCCTAGTGCTACTGTAGTATGTCGTAAGAGGATAATAATAACAGTCGCTGATGATGACCATCATGCCCATCCCCACGACGACGACGACGAAGAAGAAGAAGAAGAAGAAGAATAGTGAAAACAGTGGCCATAGACTGCTTCTCGTACACGCATCAACATACTATTTACATTGCTTCTCCGCATGTACAGTTCTCAGTCTGAAACTTCATCGCAATTTCCCCTCAGGGGGCGTTTCGGCTAATCAGGCTGCTGCGCTCCTGGCACTCACTCCTCAGGGGGCTTCACCCCAGATCCGCCTTGCGGGACCACCACCAGACTTTCCGGCCAAGCAACTGAGAAGATGAGAAGAAGAAGAAGAACAGAAGAAGAAGAGGAAGAAGGAGAAAAAGAAGAAGAAGAAGAGGAAGAAAAGGAACAACGATGACGCAGACAAAGGAGAAGGGGAAGATGTGACAAAGGAAAACACGGTTATGGGTGATCGAGGAAGCGGAAGGCGATGGTAGACTACCTACAATGTCACACAACAACGATAATAACAAGGAAGTCGAAAAGGAGTTCAATAGACGAAGGAAGCCAGCATTCCAGCTGTTTCTTCTCCTTCTACTTATCGTCTTCTCCTCCTTGTTCGGTCGTTGTCATCTTCTTCTTCCTCGTCTATCCCATTCGCCATCTTCTTCTTCTCTACAGTTCTCCTTCTCTGTTCGTTGTTGTCTTCATCTTATTCGCTGTCCTCCTCCTCCCCCTCCTTTATCGTCATCTTCTTTTCCCTTCTGTCCCCTTCGCCCATCTCCTCCTCGTTCTTCATCTTCTTATTTGCTTCTTCTTCTTCTTCTTCTTCTTTTTCTCCTTTTTTCTTCTTATTTTCTTCCCCGTCTTTCACCTTCGCCACCATCTTTTCTGTCACTTCCCTTCGTCTTCATTTCTTCTCTTCATCTTCTTCGTCGTCCTCCTTTTACTCCTATCGCCATTGTTTCCACTTCTCTTCCTCCTCCTCCTTTTACTCCTATGGCCATTGTTTTCACTTCTTCTTCTTCTTCTTCTTCTTCGTGTTGGTCGTCGTCGTCGTCATCTTCATCTTCATCTTCCCCGTCTATGTCTTTCGCCATCTTCTTCTCTGTCAGTACTTTCTTCTCCCTGTTTGTTGTCCTCCCATTCCTTGGTCATCCTGTTTTGTGTTTTTTTTTTCTTCCGCTTTCATCGTCATTTCTCCCCTTCATTATCCGCAAGGGTTGGTTCTGACCTGCCCTCCTTCCTCTTCAACTTCATTTGCGTCGCACAAAGTTCTGGGGGCGAGCATGCCTTCCCTCCTTCCCTCTCCCTTCCAGTTGAACAGCGATGGCCGCTCTGCCTCCTTGCGACCCGCGCGCAAACCCTCGCTCCGCTCAAGGACTGGCACAACAACGGGCCATGCCAGGCTGCTGTCTCCAATTATCGTTCCACGTGTTGAAGGGTGTCCTGTCCTGATGACGGACACCCGTCTGTCTCCTCACTTTCCGCTACGTGCCACGTCGGCAATCCCGAGGGTACGGCGAGGAGGATTAGACCAACACCATACTTACCGTACACACCAACAATATGGTAGTGATGAGAACTAGCAAGCAGAGTTAACAAAAAAAAAAAAAAAAAACATAGAAGGAAGAAGAGTCACGGCACCGCCGTAGTCCCCAAAGGACACGTGTCCCCATGCTTTCCGCTATAAGTGACACGCCAGCGAACGCCCGAAGAGAGGGGGACTTAAGCAAAAGACAATATCCGTATACGACATCTCCCAAGTAGTTTTACCGAGTTACAGAAGGGGAACCTCCTCCTTCTCCTCTGCATCCCGAGTTACAGAAGGGGAACCTCCTCCTCCTCCTCTGCATCCTCCTCCTCCTCCTCCTCCTCCTCCTTCTCCTCTGCATCCTCCTCCTCCTCCTCCTCCCCTGCTGCTGCTCCTCTTCGGCGTCATTCCGGCCATGAGGTGGCCCTCCATGCCTCATCAAACTTCGTTGATTACCCTAATCAATGACATGGGGTGCTGGCGGCAAAGATCATAATCATGCCTAATCAAACTCCTTTCAGAAAGGATCGTCGACGTCGTGAGTCCCAATCAAAATCCCCTTTCAGTAAGGAAGTGACCAAATGCATGCACCTTAGTCCCTTTACGAGCGATGACGAAAGAAATAGCGAAACAAAAAAAAGACAAAGGAGAAGAAGAAGAAGAAGAAGGGAGCTATGGAAGAATGATGAAGAAGAAGAGAGGGATGAAGGATAGACAAGAGAGATCGAGGACGTTCTTCCTCGCCTCATTATCACGTATCCGCTTCCATTTTCTTCCTGTCATCTCTCTCTTTTCATTGTCCTAAATCCTCGTCCGCTCATTTTCACGGAGCATATAATACTTAAACAAGGACTTTGTGTCATATGTCAACATCGAATCATCGTAATCATTCATACCAATCAGCTTTGTTAAGCATAAAATTATTACAGCGTATCGTATATATATATACGCATCTTAATGATTTCATTTCTTCCACATTCCACATTAGGAAATTAAAAACATCGACAATCCCTGTCCATACACAATCACAGATGCTTCACAGTTCCATTACTAATTCCTCAGACAGCACATATAATGAATACGCAAACGAAAGAAAAGAAAGAAAAAAACAAAAAAGGAGGGGGAAGTATTATAATCACCACCATAAGCTCTATCACTCGTCAATCTCTATGACTCGTCAGAATCGCAAAACCCTGGTAGAAACAGTGAATTATAATAAATAATAATAGTATTAGTACTGTAATACGATAAATAGTAACAGTCTTATTATAAGTAATTCATAGCATTATTATAATACATAATAAATAGTACACACTTACCTCCTCCCCTCCCTATCCACACGACCAATCGAACGCGAGTCGGCAAGCGTCCTGTCTCTCTCTCTCTCTCTCTCTCTCTCTCTCTCTCTCTCTCTCTCTCTCTCTCTCTCTCTCTCTCTCT